CTCAGTGGTAGAGCACTTGCCTTGCATGCATGAGGCCCTGGGTTCGATTCCTCAGCACCACATAAGCAAAAAGAAAAAAGCCGGAAGTGGCGCTGTGTCTCAAGGGGTAGAGTGCTAGCCTTGAGCTAAAGAGCTGAGGGACAATGCCCAGGCCCAGAGTTCAGGCCCCACGACCGGACACCCCCCCAAAAAAAACAATAACAAAAAAAGTTGAAAAAAACCCTAGAGAATACCTATTTGTCGTTTAAAAGACTTTTGCAAATATTTGGCCTAGGCCAAATATTATCAATAGTGCTATATTCTATCAATACATCCTGCTACAAATGGAGAAAATAGAAAAATACAATGCACTTGGCAGGAGAAAACCTCTTAGGCTCAGGAGAACAAGTCTTTGTTTTCGCAGGCCAACCTTGAAGTTAAAGGTGCCCATCAACCATCTATTGCAGTTACTGTACAGTATCCTAATTATACAAAGACTTTTCTTGAAATTCTGAGATCACATGCTTAAGTAGAGTTGCCAAAAGAACAGTTTTCTCTGAACTTTAACTGTTTAAAAGTATTCCATATTAGCTGGATGCTGGTGGCTCACATCTGTAATCTTAGCTACTCAAGAGGCTAAGATAGGAGGATCAAGGTTCAAAGCCAGCCAGGCAGGAAAGCCCATCAGACACTTATCTCCAAATAACCACCAAAAAGCCAGAAGTGGAGTGGTAGCTCAAGTGGTAGAGCACTAGCCTTGAGCAAAGCCTCGGCACTGGTACACACATACACAAAAAGATGGTAAAGGGAAGGGAAAAAAAACAAAAGAGGAATATAGGGTATGTGTGTACACAGAAGGCCACGGTCAGAAAAAATAAGACACTAAATGCTTAGAATAAAGAAGACCCATCCATGGCCTCCTGTAGCAGCCGTCACCAAGGAGTACCACTGGGAGACCATTTAGACAGATCAGCGAAGATGGAAGTGGTAGGCTCAGCCCCCAGCAGAAACCCAGCAAGGACACACATGGAAAAAGGTCTTTGAAAACAAGTTAATAACCACATAATGTTGTATAAAATAGAAACTTAAATGAGATCATGTATACGTCACAGTATGCTGGGCAAATTTAATCGTTTAGTAAATAAAACTATTATCTTCCTAGGATAATTCTAAAGTTAAAAAAAAAGAGGATTGTTCTAAGAGGTAGCTGTGTGTGTGTGTGTGTGTGTGTGTGTGTGTGGTGTGTGTGTGTGCGTGTGCGTGTGTTGTACATAAAGGTACAGTTTCAGGCAAATCCACCTGCAGGAGATTAATTGAGAAAAAATAATTGCTTTCTCTAAAATGAAAGAGGATAAATGAAAAGGGAAGCCAGTCCAGTCAGTTTGACCATGCAAAGAGTAAGATGAAATTTAGATCAAAGTAATTACGACACAGTGCTTAAAACTCTCCAGGCTAGAATTACAGTTTTACCTCCCAGGAAGATGTAGAATTGGGTACACTACCTCACCTCTTTGTTAGACTGTTGTGTCCTTTATATATAGGAGCTAGGTACTAAATTGAGAGACCTTGATGGCTTTTCTGAACCTCTGAATTTTCTAATTTTAGATTTCTGCTAACTTTAGATACAAGTGATACACCTGCATTGCATAACTCTAAACTTTCAGCAATGACTATTTTCTTTTTTTTTATTGTGAAAATACTGTACAGAGGGGTTAAAATTACATGGGCAAGATAATGAGTACATTTCTTATCAAGCATTGTAGCCTCCTCCTTTGTTTCCCCTTCCCATCCATTCCCATCCTCCCCACCCCGCTCCCCCAATCCCCCCCCTGCACCAAAGTTGTAAAGTTCGTTTTTGACATAACGACTTGTACATCTCATTGTTGCAATGGGTCCATCTGTATCCCTATTTAAACAATTTGTTTTTCCCCTTCCCCTCCACAAGTTATACCGACATGAAATACAGTGAAAGCAGTGGTTATACTGTAGGGGAGGGACATACAAAGCCACAAAGAAATAATCTTATAAATGTGTTAGAAACAATCCCATAAAAGAAAAAAAAAACTTTTGAATACATATCTTAGGGTTCATTTCCCTAACATCACCTTATCTGATCTTTTCTGCTTGACTCAGACTTATACTAGATATTGCAAATAAGGGAAACCATGGGACCTATGTTTCTTTGGGCCTGGCTTACTTCACTAAATATAATTTTTTCCAAGCCTTTCCATTTCCTAAAAAATGGGGCAATGTCATTCTTTC